ACCCCTGGCGGGCTCCGTAATAGTGTAATTAAATCGAGCTATAAAATGTACACTAAAACCACAATATGTAATATTTGATGCAAAATGTAGTAAACGTCTTAAATACATTTTGTAATACTCTCAGCCACATTATTTAATATCAATATTACATTTTGATTGTTACAAAATGCGGTGGTTGCTCTTTTCATAAATTATAATGTAATAAGGTGCTTTATGTAATAAACGATCACAAACCAGTGTTTGTGTTCATTCTAAACAATACACTTGTAATAATGATCATGTTTACTACACATTTGAATTGTAGATGACCACAGCCAGTTTGCACTTCTCTTCTTTTTGCTCATTATAAACAGCAAAATCAGCATCAAGTTTCAGCTTTAATTAATTACTCTGCRGTGCTAAATGATTGTCTGCTTTTCCTCCCCACAGTTTTTTTATTTTTGTCTGGTAATCATCATGTTCAGGAAGATGACCTGCTCACCTCACAGATGCAGTTCTTGCTGTGCACTGTTAATAAAYCAGCTTCGTATCAAGTATCTTTTTACACACAAACCTTTGATRAATCAGCTCTTTGTGGGGTAAGATCAAACATGATCTGAGCTTGTTTTACAGAATCTGATCACTTCTTGCATCAATTTAATCAACAATGTGTTTTAGATTTAGATGTGAGGCTGTCTGTCTGACTGTTAAACCCAGTTAAATATAAGATGCAGGACCAAAATGAACACAGACTTTTACAGAACTGTGCCCACATGAACTCCTGTCAGTAAACAAAATGGATGGATATATAAATATTGTGTATTTGTAAATAAAAGCTGGGTCAAATTCTAAAATGCTGGATACTGATAAGGTTGTGTATAGGATGATTTATTTATACTGAAATTGATTTCACAATCTCCATCATCATGCAGGGAATTTTACCCTATTTTTTGTAAATAAACATTGGCTAGTTTTCCTGTTGTTTTTGTTTAACTTTAAGGTCTTGCAAAGACTGTAGATTTTTTTATGTTTTGATGGTTAAACACATCGAAAGAGGGCATAAATACAATTTAATATAGAATAAGTATGAAAATAATCAAATCCAACCACATGATAATATTTAAAATGATTAAGAAATTTACTTTATTGTTTTTATTCATGTTGTCTTTAAATCACACAATCTTAAATCCTCCTGAAGCATTTTGTTTATCTGAACTAATGATGGAATTCTGAAAAGACTTCTGTATTAAAT